GACCCCGGGCAGTAACCCATTGTGTCGTGTGTCTCTCCCCCCCCTCCAGGACACAGTGGAACAGTTCCTCAAGCTGGTGGTCTCCCACCCCGACGCCAGCCTCCGCTGCCTGTGTTTCCGGCTGGACTTCAACGAGCATTACAAGGTGCGGGAACCCAACCGGAGGATGACCTACTTACGGGCCAACTGAGGGAAACAGTCGCGACAACTGCCGCGATAACTGCCGCCCTACTTCTAGATCTGTTACTACTACTACTACTACCGTACCACAATGCTGACAACGACGAAGATGATGATGATGATGCTGTGATCATTTTGCCCTCGTGTTTTTGTTTTGTTTGATTGTACATAATCATATAATCATTTATTGTTTACCTTGTTGTTTGGTTCATGTATGATGTTGTATATTTCGGGGCAACAGCTCAAGTATTATTTAAAAAACCCCCAGAGTCGTGCGATTATTTTTTTGAAAGTTCACCTTTTAAAAAAAATTCCCAATACTGGTGATGGATAGAGTGGCAGAAAAATTGTGAGGCTTTGTGGTGAAACCAAGCACTCGTCAAAATAAGGAAATCGATGAAAATGACAATTTTCTCCCCGTTTGGCAGTTTTTATGAAATTTATTTTTTTTGGCTCAATACTTTTTACGTCCATTTGAAAACACATTGCTGGTGGCTTTCACTGAAAAATGTTTAGTTAAGGCACAAAAAATGTAAATTTACGGTGTGCATGGACTCTCAAGCTTTGGAAGTCCCCAAATTTTGGCTTCCATTTTCTCTCTAATTCAACCTCTCAAACCAGATGACCCCCACCTCCTTCAATCCAAAATATCTCGACTTCATCTGAAGACGGATGGATAATTTTTTCATCTAAAGCAATACAATTGAGCAAGCTTTACGATGATACTAATGACTCCATATGCCCCAAAATTGACGGGCACCTGATTCTACCGTGCTGTGACACAATTAGATTTTTGCTCCTTCTGTAAATTTGGAAAATTGATAGTTACAATAATTCTGCTGCTACCCCCCCCAGCAGTTTGTCAAATGAGAAAGATGATGGTCCTCTTTGGTGTTATGGTCGAGTGTTTTGCCGTCTCGCATTTAAAAGATATGAGTTCCATTCCCAGGTGGGGAAGGTATTTTATGGAGTGCCACCATCTTTCTTGCTGTACGCAAAAGACATGTGTCACGACATGGTGGAATCAAGCGTTCTCGGAAAAGGGTGAACAAATTTTGGAGGTCTTGTGTGCAAGTTGTGCACCTTTAAAGATCCCTTGTTGGTCCAAAATGGATAAGAGGAGGCTTTCGCTGCCGCCCCACCCGGGCAAAATTCAAAATTAATTCCTTCCAAGCTGAAAATGTTTATGTGTCCCGCGTGCTCACATGACCTGATGCAGTTGCGAGCATGGCAAAACACTTGCCAACCCC